ATATACATATATGTTTGCATATATATATATACATATATGTTTGCATATATATATATATATATATATATATATATGTATATATATATATATATATATATATATGTGTGTGGGGAATCAAACCTGACTTTGTGGTCCCAGGACAGCTGTCCCACTGCACCACAACTGTCCCTATTACATCTATTTTTTTCTAATCATTTCACTAACATTAAAAACAACAAGAACTCTTTTTTGATTCATTTGTTACAACCTCAAAAAAAATTTTTCAATCCACAAAGCTTTTTTAAATGTTAATCTCATGTTTTATTTTTTCATAGCTAAAAACCAGTAAAATAAACAGTAACATAGAACTTCATGTATTGTCAAAAAATTCCAATTAGTTTCTAGCTGATGGCTCCATCTATGTCTGTTTTTTTACTTTGAGTCCAGGCATCTCTGGATGATGATGATGATGATGATGATGAGTCTTCAGTTATTTCTTCAGTGTTGGGAGAAAAACAGAAATAAACAAACTCAACAACCTCGTGTCTTCACACAAAACCTTCTCCGCTTGCAAAACTGAAAATTTACACTTAAAATATCAAATCAGTTACAATGTAATAAACACTACAAATAAAACAACAACAACAAACAAAAACTGAACAAACAATAACATACACATTTCATAACTTTCACATTTCATAATAACATTTTAAAGTTCGTATTTTCCCCTCACAGAACTGCATGAAAGAACAACAAGTGTACGACTAATGAGGAGAAGAAACTGTGGAGGTGCACACGAAGAGGGAACGCCCTTTTACCAACCTGCTGCTCACAGACGAGCTAAATGATCAAAATTCACCTTTTTAACTTGGAAATTTCATTGAAATATTTCCAGCAGACATGAGCAGCTCCACTGTTAAATAAAAAAAGTCTAAGAAATGAAACATTTCCAAAGATTAAATAGATAATAGATGAACAATATGGCTTTGTGGATGAGGTGCAATATTATCACTTCCAGTTTCTTTGTGGTCATTTTGGCACTTTTTCTTTTATGTATCGTCTCATCTCCCTGGTCTGGGACTAAAAGCCAAATGTTTTAACTGAGTAAAGAATAATAAAAACACTAAAAAAACATGTGTTATTTTCTTTCTTCTAGATTTTTGGACTAATTTAGTGGTGCTGACAACACAGAGACCTTGGTGGCTCTAACAATGTGAAAGCCCACAAAGAAACAAGTGCTGAAAGTCTCATTGTGCAAAACAATTACACCAATTTACATGAGTCAAATTGTGCTTTTACATCAAGTGTCTTGGCCAACTATTCTAAAAGTTTTACATGCAAATCTTCAAGCCAGTCTGGTTATAGTACAGTAGTCCCTCGCTACTTTGTGTTTTGACTTTTGCGGACTCGCTCTTTCGCAGTTTTTCAAAGTAAAATTGTACACAACAACAACAACAAAAAAAAATGATTGTCCACTTTAATATTACTCATGTGATTGGGACAGTTCGGGATACTGTAAAAAGTTAGCGGGAAAAAAAAAAAATCTTTGAAGAGGCGCCGCCATTTTGTAGTTTTCCCTCAATAAGCCTACACTGTGTCGCCAGTCAAAAGGACTAAATTTCCCAGAAGTCAACGGTGCTTCCAGCTATTGCTTTCTGCTGAAATGGAGGGAAAGTTTTGATTCCATCCGAAAAAGTTTGGTCCTTATTCATAGTGACTTCGGCGCTCAGTGGATACACAGAGCCACATGGAACCAACCAGGAATTGGACCAGAACCACTTCCAGCCTCATCGGTCAATCTGAGCGCTGCTTGCCGGCCCAGGAAGCCTCTCTGGTGGGGAGGTGTTGCTGGGAGAGCCGGTGTTTTCTCCAGAGCTCACTGGGACATTTTTCATCTGGATTTGGACTCGATCGGGACCATTGTGTGGTTTTGTGCAGGGCTATCTGAAGGTCCAGCTGTCTCTAAAAGCATCTAGGTGCTCAACGGTTGCAGAGACCCCATCAGAATCAAACCAGAACTGGATCAACTCACCAATGCTGGTGAGTACCCATATAAAATGTTGCAGTAGCTGCTGTACAGTACATATACCGTATTTAGCGCCGTACGTGTCGCACCACCGTATAAGTCGCATCATTCCAAATATGTCTAATAAAGTGGAAAAGTACATAAATATGTTGCTTCGCCGTATAAGTCGCATCTATTATGCGTCACCGCTGACGCATTGTGTTTGTTACGTGTCAGCGGTGACAACCTGGAAATGTGGGCCGGTGTTGTGCCAAAAATCGATTGGCTGCCAAATGGCAGCCACTGGGAGGACTTTAACAAGAATTCAACAAAAAAAACACTTAAAAACAATTATTTGCTCGACATTATAGCAAAAGTGCGTCTCAGTTGAATTTGTACTTAAAAAATGCACTTTATTGGTCAAATTAGCTGCATTTCGCCGGGGCGGTGCAGCAAAATGAAGCTGATTTGATAGTTGCTCCGAGCAGCGAGTAGAACAAAGGTGGCAGGCTATGGCAAGCCGATTGTGTCATTAATAGATGGTGAAGATTCTCAGTCATCCAGGACATGGTAAATTCAAATAAGTTCAATACAAAAATAATAAATTATAAAGCATAATAAATAAAGTCCAGTTGTTTTTGTCTTGAACTTTTTTGAATTTGTCATTATAGCCACGTTTACCAATTACATGATACGGCAGGCCAAGAACTCTGCTGTCATCTAGTGGTTGAAAAATGGTAGTGTTCTTTTTTTTTTTTTAACAGTCCGAATTAATGAAAACAGTCATATCTCAGCCAAAAATTGTTTTATAAATATGGGAAAAAATCCATAAATATGTCACTCAGGGCTATAAGTCGCAGGGCATCTAAATTAAGCAAAAAGCCACAACTTATACAGCAAAAAACACAATACGTAGGTTGTTAAAATTACGTAGGTTTAAGAGTTTAGAACATTGCAAGAGTGAGAAGTGTTTATAAATATATACAGTATATACATACTAAAATAAATACAGCGTTCTTACTTCGCGGTTTGTCACCTAATGCAGGGAGACCCGGAATTTAACCCCCGCGATAAACGAGGGACTACTGTACACTGTTGTATGCTGTCAAATAAGCCTTGGATTAAGAATACAATAAAAGAAATTAACTCTTTGTTTTGAACATTCAGATACATTAATTGTTTAAAGCACAATATTAGTTCTGGCTAATATTACTAATAATCATGTTCCTGGCTGGCCCTTTGCTCATTCAAACATAACCTGAACGTCAAAGCAGCTTCTGAACTAGTTCAATCCAACAATCTTTTTGACATGTTGGTTGTCGTCGATTCATATCATGTTACTGACTTTAACAACTAAACGCCATTTTGGCTTGCAGGCTCTGATGACGACTTTATAACTTGAATCCATTCTGTAGGCATGTGCACGTTCCAGTCAGGTGCATAACCGAACACACCAACGAATAAGAAAAAGTACAAGTTTCATATCAAGACGTTCACTTTTTCAACCAGCAACTGAACGACATCAACACTTGAAGGAAAGAATATAAAGATGGATGAGAACAAAAGAGAACTTTTAGGTTAAACAACAGATATAAAGTGTCTCAGTCTTCCTATGCAGGGTTTCTGTGACCCTCGTGCACACATTGTGCTCGAGTTTTCAGTCAGTCACGCTGTTCCCTTTATCCTGATGCCTTTCAGACCACTCATCAGTCACAGGTGGAGCCCTGACCTTCATACAGAATAAATTGGGTTTCTTCCCTCAAAAACACCTGCTCACTGGAACTCATAGCAACATGCCCACGTGCGCAGTGATGGACATTAAGATTTCTGTTATTATTTTTAGGTATTTTTAGGAGTAGATTGTGATGACTTCTCTACCGCCGCCTCGCACCAGGAGGACCCGGTTGAGACCCTCGAGGAGAACCTCCAGGAACTCCATGTCTGTTTCAACAGCAGTCAAGGGATAGACAGAAACCAGCAGCACCGAAGCTACAACACCAGCAAACGAGCACCTGGTTGTAATATTAGATCCTCGATCTTATCATAAACAGACTGTGCTGCTTTCTGTCAAATTACTTAGGAAAAGGTCTTCAGGTAAGAAATGTAAGTAAATTAGATGATAAACAGTCCACACTTGTATAGCATTTTATTTATGTATCCTGGTTCTGCAAACCTCTTTACAATGTATCTTATTTACTAATTCACAAACACACTCATACAGTAGTTATATATTTTACACTCCATTTACATCATTTTTTGTTATATCTCATTCATACACTGAAAGCATAGACTGTGGAATTCAGGGTGGTTATTTGTACTTGGTCATTGTTTTCAACTCTCATTAACTGTTAGGGCTAAATGTCCATCCTTTATCTTTACCTGCTTCTTTCTTTAAGGGCCGCCCTGGTGCCCATGTGCAACAGTCACTGTGCGAGAGGTGGGGTACACCCTGGACAGGTCTCAAGTCCTTCACAGGACCACATAGAGACAAGCTCATTCAAACGTTCACTCAAACCTAATTTAGGCTCTAAATTCTCCTTAGGTTTGAGTGAGAGTTTGAAAGAGTTTCTCTTGGAGCATGCCAGTTTTCGATGTGCGGGAGGAAACCAGAGTACCCGGAGAAAACCCACGCACGCACGGAGAGAGCATGCAAACTCCACCCAGAATCTGGCAACCTTTTTACTAACATGCCACTGTGCCACCCCCAGTTAGCGCTAAATGAGTTACTATCATTTTAAGAGTTGTGCTAATTTCTGGAGATTCTCTCAACACTTCCCCTGCTGTTTAATAACCCACGTAAAGGTTACTTGACCTTAACTTTGGGAACCAGTGATGTAGAGTGGTAGAAGTTATTATAGATCACAGTTGAACTCTGCCACCTGCTGATGTATTTCAGAACTCTCGTTTAGTAAAAACTAACCAGAAAATGAAGAATCTTTGCCAGGTCATCATTACACATATTTGAAAGTGATTGGTTTGCTCATGGTAGTTGTATTAGACCTTTGATCGTACCTAGAAATCAGATTAGGCTCTTTGAATATAAAGTTTGAGAACACCTCCTTTACAGCACCCACACTGACACCAGCAGGTCATGTCGCACACTTTCACATCAATCTTCTTTAGGGCCTGTAAAAAACAGCTAAAATCAAGTGCACAGTCCAGCCAAATAGATCGACTGTCTTCCAAAGGCACATTTGTATAGTTTTACTTAAAGACACAGTCTAGTCAACTTTGAAGTGATTTCTGTCTACTGCTTATCACTAGTTATTACACTAACAGCTCTGACATCAGTCATAGAGCAAAAAAAGAGGCAGAAGGCTTCATCCAGGCTAAGCACAACCACTTACGTGTTACTGTGCAAAGATTTTCAAGCCCCAAAATCTCTTAAAGCAAAGACTGGTCCATCCCCCGGCACAAACAGAGCAATATTGTGTATGCTGTTCAGTGTCAGGAGGGTGATCAGTCTTACATCGGGGAAACTAAACAGCCACTGGCCAAAAGGATGGACCAGCACAGAAGATCAACATCATCAGGCCAGGACTCTGCGGTCTACACTCATCTCCAGGCCAGCGGTCACTCTTTCAAGGATGAAGATGTTCACATCCTGGATAGAGAGGAACGATGGTTTGAGAGAGGAGTAAAGGAGGCCATCTTTGTGAAAAGAAACCGTCCATCATTAAACAGAAGTGGAGGCCTCCGTGTTCAACTGTCCCCTTCTTACAATGTTGTTATTGCTAGTATCACTCAGCCCCCTGTGAATAGCAAGCGGCCATCGGGGCACTAACAATCGATTGTTAGGCTGATGGTCCTCCTTTATCATGTGAGCAACTAGTTCTGGCTGTCTCCAACAAACTGGTTGATCCACTACGAGAAGGTGCTGCTCTTAAGACTGAGTTTGTTGCAGCTCCTCAGACTGAAGAAGTTTTTTGGATTAAAGATAAAACATTGCAAAAAAAAAAACCCCAAAAAAATATATATCCAGAGGACCAGATTCAACTTTGTTAGATTCATCTACCTGGATTATTGAGCAGCATCAGGATAAAAATATTTGTAGCTATAAGTGACTTTTGAGAATGATCTTGAAAAATATGAGTCAAAACCTGAGTTCTAGTAAAGTTGTGTAGTTGATTGTTTTAATGTAGAGCCTCTTTCACATGCTCATACTTCCTCAGTTAATACAAATCTATTCTGAAGTAATTAGAGCTGATTCAAGGATACAGTTTTCATCTCCTCCTTTGCTTTTTGGTGGTCCGGGCATGTTGAGCAGAACCAGATGAGCTCCCTGGGACTTGTTGACCACCACCTCATTCAGCTTAACAGCCGTGTGCATGCGACGAACGTTTGACTGGTTCCTGGTTTGGCAGCACAATCACAGAAAGAGAAGTGACAGTACAGACAACAATTACCATTAAAATAATAAATCAATAACTAAAACATGACATTTTGCTGAATAGGCAACATTTAAATAAAGATTGTTGTATGTCAGCCCACAAACAGGAAAAAAAGGCTCAGTTGAAGACTGAAGCATTTTGTATATCAAATAAAAAAGCAGCATTTAAAGACAATGTGGGTAAATTCAAACGATCAGAACTTGTTTCATTACTATTTGCATGCTTTAGTTCTAAAATTCAACAACTACCAGTTTAAAATAAAATATCTCCTTATTCTTTAAATATTGCCCATATTTACACAGATTAGGTCACAATAAGATACAACAGTAACATTTTGTTCTGCTGAATATATAAAACAGGTATGCTTTAATGCAAATGGCAGAAGACAGAGATCTTATTCATTCAGGGTTATGTTTACAGGCAGCATGCTGTCTGAGGCTGGACATGCCAAGTACATCACAAATACGTGCAGAAGCAGGGGAGCTGGGAGACAGTGAGAGAAGCTACAGTCAACACAGCAGCAGGACACACAGAGGGCCAGACAAAAAGAAAGCAACTTACAGACTCTCCCACTCTCTAGAAGGAGGAAAAAGGAATAGAACAAGAAAAACAGGCTTAGATGCTGCTATGTCAGTTCTGCACACTGCATGCTTCCATCTGTCACAAACCACATGCTGAAATATCCAAAGGTCCCAGGAGTAAAGGTCACCATGACATGGAGCTGTTTGATGTAAGCAGTAAGGTTTGATTAAAAAAGAGCCTTTGTTTCCCATTCTTGTGCGATTTTACGCTGATTAAACTTTTTTCATTAAAATGATATTGTGTATTACATGTTAACTATGTATTACATGTTTACTATATATTACATGTTTATTACATGTTTACTATATAGTACATGTTTATTACACGTTTACTATGTATTATATGTTAAGTATGTATAACATGTTTACTATAAATTACGTTTATTACATGTTTAATATATATTACATGCTTACTATGTATTACATGTTAACTATATATTACATGTTAACCATGTATTACATGTT